AGGCGGATGCTGCTCCCAAGAGCACCGTCGCGCGGAGAAACAGAGCGAACGACGCAGATGAGGTGAAAGCAAGGGGGGGCACCTGATGCACTTGGCTCAGGAATGTGTGAAGTTCCGTTGCATATTGCTCGCGCAGCGTATCCGTGTGTACTTATGTATATACATGTGCATGGATGCAATCGCGCTTCTGTATGAGAAAAACGAAATATCAAGGCATCGTAACTGTCCTTGAAATTCGCATCTTCGTTTTTCTCACCGCTCTGGGGGGCTTTGGTTTCTTTATTCATTTTTTCTTCTAAGGAGCCAACAAACCCGCGCTTCGTGATATTTTGCATTTAACTAGTGTGGTTACACGTGAGTACTCCGGTAAAACTAGCTGTTTTGACATTTTTGTCTTTTATTTTCTTTAAACCAGCCACACACAGACACTTCTGCATATGGATAACCATCGTAGTTTAAAGGAAACAAACTGAACATTTTTAACCAAGAAATCACAACATACTTTTTTCGTATCCCATTGACCTTGTATGGATACCCCACCCTCAACGTTAGCTAACGAGCAACTACATAAATATGGATGCTGCTGTTCAAAACGCTTTGCCGATTACGTCACATTGTCGTGATGACAAGCCGAAAATTATACCGCTACCTGGTATACGTAAGTGGTTGTAACTCGCCTACTTTTTCCGCTAGCCGAGAGAGACCTCGTTTGTCAAAAGAGCCAACCCGTAACCCACTCGCCACGCTGATTACCCTTGCCTCTGTCACAAGTTGTAAAAACGTGATACCTATCCCCCTACTCCGTCGTGTTGCCTACATTTCCATTTTTCCGACTCTCCGTCACCCTAGCCCGTCGCGTTTCAACAATACCCACCTTTGATTTCACCCCACTATCGAAATAACGCTTTCGTCACCAAGTAGGTATATGTCGTAACGCAAACCCGTGAGTCCATTAACTCGTCGATCGACATCATACCGATCATCACAAGTTCAAACAACACCGAACGCAAGCGTAAACCACAAGCTCCGTTTGCTTCCTGCCTTGAGCTACAAGAGCAGCCTGTACAGCTGATACGCGTACGTTCTATCCTCCAATTTGCCGATTGACAAGTCCTCGACTACAGAAAGCATCGGGGGGAATATGGATAGCGAAGACGCGGTTTATGTATATACCGTTACGGCCGATCCCAGGAGCTTCCTGTTCCCTCCTCTCTCTCTCTTGCCGATCGGCGCAGCTGATGGAGGGTTCCATCGCGCATACTTATATCATGTACGTGCGTCCTGGTGTTATTGGTTGCCATTTTCAACTGCTCGCTATCCCACCGGAATTTCAATCGGTCGACCTCCGGATGTGGACGCGCGTTTTCATGAGGTGGTGTGGCCCTGGATGTATATTTTTCTTTCGCTTCTTGGGTGGGGATCGGTCTAGTAAACATCGATATCGATAAAAAACCTGGTCATTTAATTATTTGAATAATTGATTTTCTCGCGTAAGTATATAATATAACCTTTATTGCACACAATGTAGCTGGTAGCGACCGAACGTGTCGAGAGGCGAGTGTTATCGTAAAAGTCCGCGTCATTGCAATTATTGCACATCGAAACTCGTGTCTTAGAAGTCAATATCCATTCCAGACCAATAACCCCGGACGGTCGCGTGCTCGAGCTGAAGGAATAATTCCAGTAATCATCAGTGGGTGTGTGTATATATAGGTTTTTGTTTTGGATCAACGGTACATTTTCCAAGCGTAAGTAAAACTCGTCGGCGTTTTAATGTACACGTTGTTTGCCTAATAATACACTGCGTGGAGTATAATGTGGAACAAAGTACGAGAAAACTCGGTCACAGGGTATATAATCCGCAAGTCCTACCGATCGGGGAAAAATGTGGTGATTCGGTCAATAAGATTTTAATAAACTCGAAGTGAGTTTCAATTAACTTCGGGCACGAAGTATCGGCGACGTTTGTACCTTTACGCTTATTGGCTTTATTTCGTGACAGGCAAAAAAAAGAGTGGAGAGTCAAAATGTCGACCTTAATCCGCGAGGCGCAGTAACGAGTCCCGTACACCGTTGGCGAATACGAGAAGTGCCGAGGACTTAGTCATCATCATATTGTACTCGTTGAAGAAAAAGTCCGATGTCGTTATTGTGGAACCGTCGGAAAACAAATATAAAACAAAAGCGCCCGGTGCGTGAGGTGTAATGATTCATCCGGTTTCTCAAGCAAACGAAGCACGCGCGGGACTTTGATTCGCGAGGTCCTCTGTAGGCCAATTACGGCTCGACGAATGTACGTTGTTGTGAAGACCGAAAAAAAAGGCAATAACAGGAAGAAATCGTCACGGGCGTAATACGTGTATATACACATCTGAGAGTGAAAGAGCAAAGGAGACCGTCATGCGACAGGTATATCACATATACGCAGAAATCGGTTCGAGAGAACGGTTCCACGGTGGTTAGGCTCGCGGGTCGACGCCCTGATGAAATTTTCGGGCGATGTGGCTGGTAGATTCCGGGCGATCGGTATGCAGGCCGGCGCGTCCTCTGCTTACGCGTCATATTTTTCTCTCTCAGTCACGTTGACTGTTTTTTTATTCACGGGTATGTATGTTACGTCTTAGAAATCGGTTGGAATCGGCAAAGCGTTTCGTGATGAGATCTCTCGCTCGAAGAGAGCACACCGTATCCGAACGACGGGCAAATGATTTTCCATCGGCTTTTAAGGCGATCCCCGTCCAGATGAACGCTTTTGACGGATCCCTCCCACTGCGCGTTTATAATTTTCTACAACTTTCTCCTGGATTTTCATTTGGCGCCCCGTAAGGAGCGTCGTTGTTGTTGCACGAGCCAGACCGTTTTTTACACGTACGGTACGCGTGCACGCTCGAGTGTGGTGTTTTCTCGAGGCTTCCCTTTTACAGGCGAGCCCGACAAATCGGTTTCTAAACCACTGAAATGATTCATTCGTCGAGGATCGTTCGGTTGAAAAAAAAAAATCTTGTGTATACACGAGCGACTTCCACCGATACAAACGGGCATGAAAATATTACTACAGCGACGACAGAAAAAAATGCATGTCCTTTCACAACGAACGCCAAAAAACATTATTTCCTCTCCCGTCGAAAATAGATATCCTTGAGAACAGATCAAAATGTATACAATATAATTATATATGAATGTTAAGGTAGTAGGCACGCGCTCGCATCGATTAACCCACTCGACGGAGTGGAAGGCATCTCCGAGAGTTGGGCCTGTCTCTCTCCAGAGACATTCTCGCGGTCGTCGCTATACTATTGTTGTGATGATTATAATCATCATAGTTACGTCAATCTCTGCTGCGCGAAAGTATCGTACAATTTAAAAACGCGCGCCGCCGCGGAGAGGAGGTATTATATGGTACACGGTGGGACGGTGACTTGCATCACACGCACACGCAGAAACTTGTATATGAGCACATATATAATGCCAGTGGCTCTTGGTGTATTATCGGTTGCAGCTTTGACCCAACGAAATATTTGTATGCCTTTGGTACGAGAGAAATGAAATTCGCTCCGTGGGTCGCCGCGAGCGTTGCTCCACACGCAAACGAACGCGTGCCCCTTCATCACCGCGTCCTACTGCTCTCCGAAAATGGCGAAAACTCGCACTTTTCCGACCACCGCGCTGCCTGCATTGTATGCGTTACACGCTCGACGGGTTTCACGCTCGCCTATCTTTGCTCTGTTTTTCTTTTTGCGCTCGAGTGTTTTCTAAAGCGCATTGTCGTGGACTGGGGGGCTCGAAAAATTTTCGCGGGATCGCCTCTTTTGGCGCTATGTATACGCTTGGGTGTATAGCTTTAGTGCGCACGGGTGTGGGGAAGAAAAAATCGGGGTCTGGAGAGATCGGCCTCACAGTTCGATTGCTCGATGATGCATTCGCTTTTCTTGGAAATGTGTATGTATACGTCGAGCCTTTCGCGGTCGATACATGTATACCAGTGGACACCAACATTGCAACTTTTAGAGTTTGAGTAAAATATATATTGATGGCTGCAAATCATTGGCTCGTGGGGCTCTGAAAGTCAAAAACTTTTCTCTTCTCTGAATAGGTTTTTGTTGTTGTTGTTGTTTTTTTTGTGGAAAAAGCGCGAAAAGGGTATCTTGTGCAGGTATAATATATGTGTAGGTCTGCCTATAAGGGNTTTTTTTTTCATTACTGCCATTATTATTCTTACATTTGACTTTAAATGTTTCATTTCTTTCACAGGTTTGAAACATGCCCGTTGGTTTACTTTGGAGATGGTTCATGCACTCGTAGACTCTGTACTGTTGGCTTTTCTATTGTTAATTTTTTTGTTTTCCATTGGGCATAGAACGCTGAAAATGACGCATGAAAAATATACTGTGGTCTCTTTGTTATTTCTATTTTATGCCAATTATAGCGGTAAAAAAATGTCTTTTATAATATTTTACATGCTTCAAATATATTTTTTACTTGTACAATTGCACTTGAAATTTTCAAGTATAAGGGTAATCAATGATCGGAGATTAAATTTTAAGCTACGATGACTATCAATTATTCCAACCACTTGTATGGTTAAGCTTGTGACTTGCACCATTACACCGCTTGTCTGGGCTTACGACGAAGTAAGTAGTTCTCTATTCCAAGGTATACACCGTACTCTCCAGAGAGAATTTATTTCTTAACAACTTTTTCTCATATCTGGAACGATGACGAACTTAATGTAGCACCAAAAATTTTAAGATTCGTATCACTGGTGTCTCGTTTTCTCTGAAGGGCTTTCGTTCATAAATAAATAAAACTGCCCGTCAATGCTAAAAAACTGAATTAATTCAAGAATAAAACTACTGAAAATTTCGAAAGAAAGTGTATTTAATGTTAAGAATTGTTTTTCTATTATAACTGATCGATCATTTATTTATTTATTTTTAAATTCGGATATGAGCCACTCTCAAATCGTATCTCAAACTAAGTAAGTGTTTTGAGTGGCTCAATCACCTAGTGTGGCTTGTGTATTCAGGTTCCCGACGCTTGGATTCACAGTGCAATTGACCCGATGCCTCTGTTATCTTTTGGATATCTCGATAAGCGCAAGTCGCATTATCGTCAATCAAATCTACCATCGCAGGCACCTAGATTATCCGAATGATCCATGTGGAGTGTGCCCAGTTGATCATCGGTGCAACGAATTCAGGTCCCTGCGTTTATTAATTCACCTTCTTGCTGCGGCGCGAGTTCACCGACAAACTGAACTTTCTCATTTTCCGAATAAACGATCCGATCAGTAGTTGGGCGAAGAAAACCAAGCAACCCAGTAGGACAGCGACACTGGCGGCAATAAAGGCGTAAACGTCGAGCAACTCGGCCTGCCACCACTTCAGGTCGACGGCCCGCGATCTGAGCACGTTCTTACCGTGCCGGATCACGTACTCGATCCAGAAGACCGCCTCGTCTCTCGGCTTGAGGGGCCGATCGCGGAACACGGTCGACAATTTGGTAGCTGATTCCCTGGGATTAGAGAAAAACAATGCGATTACAAAAACGTGTGTTGTGCCTTTATAGCATACAACGACTGTGAGAGAGAAAAAAAAAAACAATTGCCAAACTGGTATTTTCCACCACTTATCTCCTGTCAGTCTAATTTTTACCATGCCGGACAGGTAATTTCTATTGTGCTAACTGTTTGTAACAGTATTGTACGAATAGTAAATAATAACAATACCAGTTAACCATTGTGCCACGCTTATTTTCATAATTTCTTTTTTGCTCTCGGTGTACGGGATTTAGACTCGTAATGGATTACTTTAAGAGTATCTTCGATGGAAAAAGTCACGATTATGCTATCGTTTTTTTTTTTGCCGAGCGATAAGGTAATCAATTGAAATTACTCTACGTCGTACCGACTCTTCCAAAAATAATAACAACGTCGGGTCAACCATCGGAAAAACCATTCTCTTCGGAAACAACACGATGACTCATCAAGACACTTCCATCGACGTATACATTCGTTTGGTTCATAATTAATTTATACATAAACAAGGAAACTCGCACCACGTTTGAACAACAAAGTAAAAGTAAGTTAACATCGTCACTATATAATTTAATTTCCACGAAAAAAAAATAAAAATAATAAATAATTTGAAAAAACCAAACCCCAACTCACCGATACGTCGGATTGTTCAGTATCTCGTTGAAGGCGCGATCGAAATCGGCTTGCTGTGCAGCCACGACGTCCAACTTGATGCCAAACTTTTTATTCGTCGCTATGTCGCAATTAATATGCTGATCAGCGAACAGCGGCACGCAGATAACGGGCACGCCGTAATAGACGGTCTCTTGCGTGCCCAGGCCTCCGCCGTGAGTGATGAAGCCTCTGATGTTGGGATGCTCTGAACGAACGAGTTGATCGTCGTGAAAAAATAAAACACCATCATCCCGCGTCGGTTCTTGGGGTAACTCGGAAAATAAAATACTCACTCAGGACTTCCTCCTGTGGAAACCAGGGAAACGTGAACACGTTGTTCGGCTTGCCTTTCGGCAGAGCCTTCGGATCCACCGATTTCACGAGGACACGTAGTGGTGCCAGTCTCCGAAAAACGCTGTAAAATTTGCCAAACACTTCCTCGGGGAAAGATTCCAATCTCATGAGCGAGCCGAACGAGAAGTAGATGAAGCCATCCTTGCTGTCGTCCAATATTTTCTTCAGATCCTAAATCAGACAATTTCGGTTTTCTTCGTCAGCAACGAAAACAATCATCTAAGCTGTGTGATTTTACCTCGGACATTGTGGTCGTGTTGTCGTCCTGGATGTGTATCCCGGCGATTTCGATGTGGGCCGGATTATTCGGCTGCACTCCGTGGAAACTGAAGTGCGAGTTGGTCAACATCAGGGAGACGCTTTTCTCGAGCTCGGTGTACGATGGCATGTCAGGGCCGAGGTACTTCTTTATCAGGGCGTCCTGCTTGTAGGCTCTCATGTCGTAGGTGTATATCTCCCAGTGGGTCATCAGGACGTTGTAGAGTCTTTCCCAGAACGACATTTTGTCGTTGTGGCTGCGGAGGTTCTTCGAAGCGATCGCCAAGTTCAGGGGACTACCGATCATCCGGTGGTTGTAGGGATACATGGCGGTTGTCACTACTCCGACCAAAGGGACGTTCCATAAGTGAGCTACGCCTGTGTAACATTGATAACCGGCGAAGAACTGGAACAAACAAGAATATGGTAAATCAAAGTTGGTTTACCAACCATACATCTTTTTATCGGGTAGAGAATTATTTTGGACCAAAATTAGATTTCTAATTGGATCAAACTTAATAATCGTTTATAAACAACTGTAGTTTTTTTTGTATGGTTGGATCGAGTTTAATTAAAAGATATAAATCACTTTATGAATTCGATTGTCTTACATAAGTCATTGGTTTCGTTGTCCTGATAAATGTCAATTGACAATTATTTATGCATCACATGATAAAAGAGCGGTTGAGTAAAACCAAGATGACATAAATGTTATTGTTTCTTGTTTATAAAATTATATAATTATTGTAAAAGCTATAATTTAGTCAGGAGTACAATCTTACCGTAGTATCTTTGATTAACCGATATGAATCATTATGTGTTTAAATAATAATTTATATAGTAACAAATATAAGATCCTAGAATAACAAAACCTATTGTTTTTGATAAATTAGACTTAAAGGTAATTTTATGTTAAAAAAAGAAATTGAAAAAACTATATGTTTTGTTCATATAGATAAATTGATGCTATCTGAATGCCCCTTGCGTGTATACAAGTACATTATACGCAGGTTAATGCAAGTTTAATGAAGAAATTGATTCCTGTATACTCTTAGTGTTTTCCATAACTATTATCTTCCTTAACAAAAAAGTACTTCTGTTGGAAGAATGAAGTAACAATTTTTAGATACTTAATACAAAAAGGTAAAATCGATTCTCGAAAATTAAAGAACCAAAATGAAAAACTTGGCATAAGTGATAAATAAAATTTCTTCCTCCAGCGGTCATGTAAATCACAAAGAAAAAACTATAGGCATTGAATCATCCGATCAGTCAACGAGATCATAAGAGCTGACTCATCACGCACATTTTACGGATAGTACACAAATAACCCTCGAAAAAAAAAGTTCATCCCGAAAAAGTTTTCTATCGCTTATACGCACTAATGAACAACGCAAGTGCTTCTTACGTGAGTCAAAACGAGATCGTACGGCGGATCTTTCGGCGGATTTTTCACAATCCTCGCTATTTCCGGATGGCCCAACAGGTCACACAGTTCCAAGCAAGTGCTGTGCACGGCTTCTTTTATTCCATTGCGCGAATGAAGCTCGCTGTAATCAACGGACACCTTGACTTGGGTGGATTGAAGCTTGACGACGTCCGTGTAATTCGGAAAGGGCTCTGTACGTGGATAGCCACTGATAACGTCCACCTGGTGGCCCTTTTCGGTGAGCGCCATGACTACCTGCTCCAGCACTTTGAAGTGGCTTCGGCCCTTGAACGGAATCATGGCAAATATTCGGTAGCCGCTACTCAACGACACCACGCTCAGTGACAGGAGAGCAAACGAAATAACTAATTTTCTACTCCAATTCATGATCAACGTGTTTTAGCAAGTAGGTTTGATGAAACGGCCACTGTCGGGATCACTTTTCTTATTCTTAGAACGCACTACACGAAAACCGGGGATGTACTCATGATGGCGATATGGTTGTTGATCAGATTCGTTGCTTGTTTGGGTACATATTTATATAAATGAGCGAATGTTGGCGATAAAGTTGTGTATCTTATCGTGTTATTCAAGTTGCTTTTATTGCGATGGCTCCGGTGAATATGTTTCAACTGTCATTGAGGGATTACGTGAATTATAAACTTTTGCCGGATCTCTTGTATGTACATTGCAATCACTCGAAAGACTCATCGATGATTCGCGTATAAAACCCAAACCATTTGCATGCACCAACGTGACGTGTCAGACTAATAATTTACATTGAATTTTACATGGAATATCTTGTTTTTCATGTATTATCGAATAAAAAAATTTTCGAGGTATAATATATTATATTATTGCACAAAAAAATCTCAGAGTATAATAACTACATACTTTTGTTAAACACATTTGTTTTTCAGTACTGTTTTTAGAACAAATCCATATTTAACCTTCAGACCATTTTTTTTTTTTCATTTCTGAAAATTGTATTGTCAAAAGCATTTAATAATTTCTGAACCAACTATGTTACGAATAAAAAGGCTTTAGACATACGTGTCAATCCATGTTTTGTTAAAGTCAATTAGTTGTTTGACAAAAATTTTATGATACTCAAAAAAACAATTCATGGAATTCGTGTCTTTATCGGTGTGCAAACACTACTTGATGTCACGATTTTTCCTTGCTCAAAGTGAGTTTGCCAGAAGCGATTACTGCATGTTGGATTTTCATGTCAATTTGCAAACTACTCATCCAAAAAGATAAGCAATTGTAATCGAATCAACGTTTAATGTTTTTAAAAAGTTTCTCCCAGAGAAGTTGCATTTTTCTTTATTTGCGTGCACAATTTATTGCACTTACAGAATTTAAAGACAGGAAATGGTTACACAATACTTTGAGGACGAAATAATGATATTTATAGCCTTGCAAAATAAACGCGTATTAGTCTCTTTTGTTAGATGTATTTGGATTTTCAAATACAATTAAAAATACATCTTTCTCTGCATTAAACAAACAAATAAATATCCAGACTTAAAAATTTGATCTGTTTTTTCTTAAATGATGGATTTATGGCTACTAAAAAGCATAAAAACCAAAAGTTTTGACTCAATCGCTCAACAAAACTATTTATTCATTAGCACACTCTTGGCGCTCTTATCAGCAAAAATCTCTTCAATGCACTTGAGCGGTCATCGTGAAAGCGTATCGTGCGTAAAAAATCATTAAACACACACATAAATGTTCCGGTGGCAGCGCCTCGCAATCAGGTTTTCCAGTTTGCGAGCACTTCAAGAGCCTTTAACGCACATAATGTACACGTACATGGCCGAGACACACGCGAATCGATGTAGCAGCTACACAGCAATGGCTTGTGATAACGGAAACTCATCCTTGCTTGTGTAGATACGTCGTCGAGTTCATTCTACTCAAAATGTCCATTAAGAAGTTTCTGTAAGTTGAAAACTTATTTGTAGGTACATGCCAAAGATACAAATCTTTTTTATTCACGTGTTTTAAAGAGCATTAAAGAAGAACCATCACAATAATAGTGTTCATAAGTTCAATAATGTTTGAGTAACAAGGCCGAAAAAAAGGGTTTTTTTAAAGTTCTTAATACGTATGAACCGATAAAAAGTTCCAAAAAAACTTACTTTATTGCAAAATTACAAAAACAATTTATATGTTGTTGTTGAAAAAATGATATTTATATATATTAACTTTACCGCTTGTTCATCATGTTTATATCTTAATGTAAATAGAAACAAAATATGTTTGTCTTAAGAAATTTAAATAAAAAACTGTTAATATTAAATAACCAAATTTTCAATTACTAATAGTTCCAACAAAATAAAAAGAAAATCTGTGGCTGCAAAACATATAAACTATTTAATAGAGAAAAATAAAAAGTTTAATTTACTTGTTATTGATCACTACTTGCTGCTTAAGCACACTTTCTGCGCAGGCAAAGTTTTCTCTTCGACCAGTTTTACTAAATTAATTTCATTTTAAACAAAAATCGAATAAGAATCTAAGTGCATGTACACAACGTGCCTATAGGATTCCATTAACGTAAAACTCGCCAGTCCAGACGTACAAAAAGTCTCGGGTTTCGAAATAAAGGCGAAGTTATTCTCGTCATTTAATTTATTGAATGTGGAAAGAGATATATAACAGAGAAATTGTCTGCTTTTGCAGCAATGACTACAATAATTATAATTGCTATTATAATAACAGTTTTAATAGTTATAATAATAATAATTATTATTATGATAGTAATGATAATAATAATAATACCAGTAATAACAATATTATAAAACTAAGATTTTCTTACAAATATAAACTGTGATAGAAATAATAGTAAAAAAAGGAATATGGTAATAATAATTATGATGATTATAATAATAATTGTTGTTATGATTACTAATATTGTTCCGCGCAATATCTATAACTTTGCTTGTTTTGTCAATGTGGGGGTTATTTCACCGGAATTTATCACACTTAAAGGACGTGAAGGATCCCTCTCTGCAGGGAGAAAAGGATTCGCTGCAATAAATCTCGAGTCCAGCCACAGCACTTTATCGTACTAGCACATGTGCTGTGAGGTATATGTAATTTATGTTCATGTAACTATACGCAAAACAAAAATAAGCTTATACAGGCATGGTAATAGTATTAGTACTTTTAACGGTAATGCACGAGTTAATTGCCTACAATTTTTTCCGTACACAAAACATTGCCCTCTTTGATATATAATAGTTTCTATAATGATCTTGAAGAAGAAATTAGTACGAGTTCTGCGGGCTACTACGTCACTTTGTAAAACACATATACAATTAATAAATAAGGTTACATTGTTTCAGTAAGTTGCTCGAATACGTCTTGATCCAAAGGAATTTTTAAAGTTGATTTAAAATTTTAAGTTTAAAAATTTATTAAAAGTTTTTNGAGAGAGAGAGAGAGAGAGAGAGAGAGAGAGAGAGAGAGAGAGAGAGAGAGAGAGAGAGAGAGAGAGAGAGAGAGAGAGAGAGAGAGAGAGAGAGAGAGAGAGAGAGAGAGAGAGAGAGAGAGAGAGAGAGAGAGAGAGAGAGAGAGAGAGAGAGAGAGAGAGAGAGAGAGAGAGAGAGAGGAGACTAGGGAGTTGTAAAGGAGCTCTCGTCCTCCTCCTCCTTGGGCCGCGAGTGTGGCTCCCCCGTTGGCAAGGCCCTCTCCTTCTGCAGCGCGAGTCTGGGCCCCAAGGAGCCGCCAGAGTAGGCCTCCCGATAGTCCAGATCTTCAGTCATAACGCGGAAAATATATTTTTAGAATAATTTTTCATGTATACCAGAATTATGGAAAAAATTCATTCTTCTGATTAAAAAATTAAATCTTGGAATCTAGAATCGTGAAATAAACATTTATTAAAAGGGCTATTACATCGAGATTAATTAATTCAATAATTTACATGTATTCGTCGGATATAATTCGAAAAAAAAAAAATTGTGGAAACTTGATTTTTATGTAAACTAACATAAATTACGTAACAGTTATCAGAAACATGTTTTAAACTTAAAACAAAGTCAAATTATTAAACAAGATTTAAGGAAATTTTCATTTAAAATACATTCATGCTTAGAAAAATTAAAAGAACTGCTAAATATTTTTAAAAATTACAATCCAAAATCCTATTGTGCACGAACTCAAAAAACATTTGAAATCATTAATAGACTTAATTGTGTTTGATTTTCTTTTATAAATTTTGCCATTGTAAAATACTTATAAATAATAATTTGTTGATTGTAATCTTATGAGAATCACGGAGAAAGGTATTCTTACGTTTTTTAAGGACAATCTGGTCAGTAAAGAATGTATGCCGTAAAGGCATGTAAATGATAAAAAAAATAATAATAATAATAAAAAATTTTGATTCCTACAAAAATGTTTTTTCTTACAGAGACGAGGAAACGTTTTTGTTTTCAAGCAGACCAGTCAAAATTTTTTTTGGTTTTAAGTAATTTATCAATTAATTCTTGTCTAAATAAACTCCTGTTTGTTAGAATGAGTGTGTCAGCGCATATTTACATGTACATGTAGCATACGTTGATATGATTACATAAGTACATGACTTATATCATCAAATGACGAGTTCTGAAAATATTTATAAACAGTTGTCGCATCTTCTAAATGAGCAAAAAAACATAGATATAAAACGATATAAAGTGTGGAAAAAAAATTTCATATAAATAATATTTAAATGGCCATTTCCATCTAATGTTTGTTTCAATACGGTAGAGTGAATCTGTTTTTGGAGTAGTATGCACTATTATTATATAACCAAATGAAGGGTAGGTGTAGAATCCCACACTCAATTTTTGCACTGGACTGAGTGACGGTCCTATCTTTTACCACCACACCAGAGTTAAAATCAATGAAACCAAATTTAATCGATTCAATCGTAAAATCCTAAGTCCTTATCCATCATTTCAACGATAAAAACAATAAAAATGTAACTCTTTGTCCAATTTCATCACTGCCATTCTCACCTTGTCTTGAGCAACCAAAATAACTAAACCTGATAATCGGTACACACAACTCATCTCTACGCTTCTGCATTAAAAAATCCCTCGATGGTTTGATATCCCATCAATTGAGCGTACTTATCTGAAAGTGCACGGTCATCATGAACGTGAAGTGAAATAGAGAAAACGATGAATAAAAAGTAGAAACATAAACACGGAAGCGCGTGCAGCGGCCGGAGGAGCGAAAAAGGCGTCCGGATGCATTATTGCACAGTTAAAGAGATAGGGGGGGGGGATCCGCGCACAGATATACAGCAAACGTTGGACGTCAATTCCTCTATTTCTTGCTCGTATTATACCTACGGACGGCCTCTGTGCAACAAGACTCTAAAG